CAGTTAATTTAATTTTGGAAAGGGCTTGACATGAGCCAGGTTAAGGAACCATTAGAGGCGTGATTTCAGCTTTGATCGTGTCCTTAAGCATAGGTTCCTAGGGATCGGGAAAATCCTTAGTCCTCTTTAGTGCCAGTGGTAGACATCAACAGTCAACCGTGAAACCCTCTTAATTTGTGATAAATTTCATTGCTTGCAATACAAAAATCCAGACAGCCTCACTACATCCATCTTAAAAGGTTTGCAAGATCACACTGATTTTCCAATCTTGTTCTAAGTGAATGGAGCAACTGTCATTAGGAGATGACCCAGCCATCTCTTTCAGAAGCTGACTTACAGGAATCGGAAATCTCTGGCACACAGTGGCCATTCAAGAGTCCATGGGATCCTATTGACTCTGCCAGTGGTCACTGCCCGTTTGGGTTGTGTCTTTGGCTTGAGATGCAGTGGGGGTGGTGGCTGAGGATCAGGATGGGTGTGACTGTGGTGTCAGCAGCACCTGCCCCACTCCACCCCCTGGGTTGATTCTGCTCTGCCTTACCAGCACAGGAGAACATTTCTACAGACACCTGTCAAACAGCAGACAGATGAGGATTCTCAGGAGAGCCTGGTGGGCTCAGCTGCCTCCATCCTTTGGCCTAGGCCCTTTTGCAACGTTTGGATGTTCCAAAAACTGCCCTTGAGCAGCCATGATTGGCAGGAGCCAACCAGAGTCTCTGAAGCTCTATGAGCTTTTCCACATCTGGGAGTCCAGAGGAGAAAGGAAGGGAAGGGATTGTTCCCCACAGCTGAACTGGGAACTAGCAGGCTGCCCTGGCCCTGTTCTGACCACACCATGTTCTCTGTAGATTCTCATCAGAGACTCCATTTCCCGTCTGTCAGCCCAGGTTTGCTCATCCGCTTGCTTTGTGAGCCCATTGCCACAATCCCATCTGTACAATGGAAAAAGAAAGACAATAATGGCAGTGGCCTTGCCCTACAGTGCTGTTCTTGAGTGTAAGCCACAGCGGTGCACAAAGGAAACGGTTGGACAAAGGCAGAGGTGTTTGTGCTCCCTTTCCCTGTAAAAGGCCACCTGGTCACCAAGCCTCGTCTCAGTTACATGGGCCGAGCTTCACAGCCTGTGAGGTTCGCCAGGTGTGGGTGAGCAGGGAACTGTGGGGTTTCCCAGGCATCACTGCCTTTCATCTTCACAGCTGCTTCTGCAGAAGCTGCCTGTCGCCCGATGGGTTTGGAATGCAGAAAGCTCTTGTCCAGGACCTTTGCATCTTACGCTTTAGAACCATGTGCAGCTATTAAGTGGCCTTCCTTGTTCCAGTCTCCTGGCCTCCCAGCCCCAGAGTGAAAGATAGCAGGGGATGGCAGCATGCCTTTCATCACTGAGTGAAAGGCATGCCCAAGACCATTGACCCTGGCTGGCACCGTTTTCAGAAACAGCCAGGATGCTTCAGACAGCAGGGCTGCAATTGGCTGCCCTCTTGGCCACAAGTCGTCACTCACTCGTGTAGGACACAGGGACACATGAGGGGTAAGGGACAGAAGAAGGAGAGCAGAAAAAGTTGTGGCCAGGGATGGAAACAGTTGAGGTTATAGAAAGGGAAGTCAATAGCAGGCAAGAAGTGCTAAAAGGCAGCAAGACAGGAGGGGAAGAGAGAAAGCACAGCACACAAAATAACACATCAGGGTCCGGTGACAAGGCAATGACATTGACGACTTTGTCTGAAATCGGATGCATATTTACATCGAAATATGCAAATATCCAGGAGCATCTCCTTGATGATTTCTGCTACAGAGAGGAGTGATATTTGCCAGATCTCAGAAATGCCCATCCCAAGGCTGCTAGGAGGTCTGAGGAGGAAAGCAGGCATTTGCTGCCCCCTGCTGGCTAACATCAAGTTTTGCATACTGCCTGCAGAGGGGAACTCCATTGAAATGGCCCAGATGCCTGGATATGGTTCCTGCCTCTGAAACCAACCTACTGTGGCTGAAGAAGAATTAGAACTTAAGCCTTGACCTCTCCTAAACTTCTCACTTATATTTTACTCAACCTGATGTAGATCTTTCCATAATCCCAACCTCAGCTAGTCCTCATGTAGGTGCTGGTCTTCGTGGCTCTGTAAGTCCATTGTACATCCTCCTGATGCCCCTCCACTGAGGATGCTCCTTCTGCTTAGTCTTTCATGAATCACAAATCCCGCCACTGCGGGACATTCATTGTGTCTTCATGTGGGCCATTGTCAGCAGCCATGACACCAGCCTGCTGACCAGTGCCCCATCAGATGGCCATCTGTAGTCAGGGATATGGATACAGATGTGGGTACGGACAGGATATGACCTTGTACATGGGTGAGGTATGCACAGAGATGTGGGTTGGTTTGTTGGAAGATCGCCTGCAGCCTCTTGATGTGGCCTACAAAATTCTTCTTACTCGTATCTGTCTGTCCAGGCCTACCTCACATCTGCTACAAATGATAGGGAAAATGTTAACTTCTTTAGTTGCTGTTACCTGTATGCCACTTACTCTCACATGTTCTGAGCGAGCCCCTGGGATACAGAGAGGAATGAAACGCATGCCCTTCTCTCCCACGGGAGCAATCTGGCAGATTCAGCACCCAGATGCAGCAACCATCACCAACATCACTCCATTAAAGTGTACATACCCATCCCACACAGTTCTTGTTTCCTGTCAGCGGTGTTCCTGGTTGTAGGATGGGTCCTGCTTCCATGCTGATCATCATCTGGGGGTTGAGGATCCCAGATCACAGAGCCACTGCTGTCCGGTGCCACGCAGACCTCTTCCCAGCAGGGCTGCTCACTGTAAGGCTGACGTGGGCTCCTCTCACTCCTGTACTATGAGAAGGGAATGTCTGACTCATGGGTCGATCAAGGCCTGTGGGATCATTTGGTGTGGCCCTGCCAAGGAAACCACAGGTAGCATTTGAAATTCAATAAATCCATACCAGGTTAATTTCTGTACTCTGTGTGTGCACACTGTGTGTGCTCCATGCCAAGGGGCCACGCTCTAGGTCAGCACACACGGAATGAGCAGTGTCTCGCCTCAGCTGGGACCTCTGCCCACTGGCTGAGCCTGGTCTGCCATACCAAGCTCACAGGCATAGCTTCCAAGGGCATGCTGGACAACTGAGTCAGAACTTCAGCTACACACCTAGAAAAAAGTTGTCCTGTTTTACCCGCCAAACCAAGGGGATCTGGAAAAGAACCAAGTACTATGTGTGGTAAGTTCTTACCAAATGGTACTAAAGGAGCAGCTGACCCATTCGTGAAGGCTGCCCCTGTCAGGCACTGCTCCAGGCACCAGGGTAGGCCATAGCACTGAACAATGAAGGACGCGGGCGCATTCATTGGGTCTGTTTTGTAGAGAAAGAAACCAAGATACAGTGAGGTTGTCTAACTCATCTGAAGACACATAAATCAGAAAAGATGGAAGAGGATTCTGTCTTGACCTTCACAGCGTATAAAGGGGTGGTCTTGAGGAAGCTCAAGGGTGAACTGGCAGAACCTTTCGTGACTGCTGCAGCCCATGTTGTTGGTCTCCAGCCTCTGTTCCCTGGCCGTTTTACTGGAGTTGTAATCATCCTGGTACTGGAATGTGTTTTGCTCACTTCCTTCATCTCTGTGATGGAAAAGGATCCTGTGTCTCTCAAGAGGCTGATGTGGGAAGATGAGCTGATGCAGGCAAAGTGACTGTAACTGGGCGTGATGAGAGTTGTTGATGTCATTGTCACCACCAGCACCATTGTCGTCATTGTCTGAGAGTATTTGGAGCCTAGGCTGGGGAGATTCTTGCCATGTGTCACGGTCATGATTTCAAACAGAATAGGAAAACCCAAGAGGCAGTTGGGAAAATGTTCAGGTTCCTAGGCAGGGTCTGAAACTGAGATTCTATCTGCAGATTAGCAGTTTATTGACCAGGAAATGGAGTGTGCATCCCTAAAGTTCAGAGACGGGTTGTGAGCTTCCTCAAGGGGCAGCCAGAGCCAGCAGCACACATCCTCCTGGCCCTCGCATCAGGCCCTTGATGTCGCATTTGAAGTATTTTTGTTGATCTTGACTGTGAGCTCACAGGGAAAATTCAAGGTCTTCACTACTGACTGTCAGCTCTGTGTTCCCAATATCAGCCACAAAAGCAACTGATGGGTACGTGAGCAGAAGCCAAAAGGGCATGGGCTCGAACCTGGGGATCAAAAGTATGCTTCCCTGAGAAAGCAGGGTTGGCCTGTGTGATGCCAAGCTTCACCCTAGACTTCATGATCAAGGATTCTCCATCAGGAGGAGCAGCCATCTTCTCTGTGCCTGACCCTGAACGTGCACACACAGAATGTTTATATAAATGACATTTTCAGTGGAGCGTTGGCCTCTACTGCAGCTTGACTAGGGCATGAGCTGGGTGACCTCTCTGTGAATCGTAAAAGCTCAGCCGGCAGCCCCCTTCAGCATGCTGAAGCCTGTTCTTTCCAGCATTAAACAGCTCTGGGTTTGGCCCACGGTCGGGATGGTTGCCTGTAGTTGCACCAGCTGCACAATGAGTGATCTGCATCTGTGGTGACAGAGTCTGTGTTCCCCTGACTTTGGAATATTTTGTGTTTTCATACTAAGAATTTTCAAACATATTTTAAAACTATAATGCAACATGTACGTGAAATGGCATTGGTTTACAATATTCTTCTTGGTGTTACACCAAAAATGTATGGTCACTTAAGTTCTTTCAGGAGTCTGCAGGCTCCCGGGGATGGTCCGGTTTGAGTGCTTACTAGCTCACTGCACTAACTAGCCAGTTAAGTGGGCGTGTTGTTCAGACTTGTTTTCTTTCACTGGGGCAAGAATCCCTGCCTGCCTCACCAGTTGTCATGCAGAGCCCAGGGAACATGTCAGAAGCACATGAGTGTGTTCCTTAAAGGATGAGGCCGCCACATTCCCCTCTCCTCGATGGCACAACACGCCAGGGCTAACAGTTTCTTCTCTCTTCCTCCTCATGCCAGGTTCCTGATTGTTCTGGGCTGCTTGATCCTGGCTGTGCTGACCACCTTCAAGGAATACGAAGCTGTCTCTGGCGACTGGCTTCTATTGCTGGTGAGTGGCATTGCCTGGCAGTGTGGACACCTCTGCTGGGACCTTCACGGCAAGGCAATAGAGGACTCCCTGGGCACAGTTCTTCCCTGTTGGCTGTGGCTCCCTGGGTCTACAGCCAAGCCCAAGCCTAAAAGCAATCGATGTCTTCAGCATCATTTAATGATGCCTGCATGGGCACAGATGATGTAAGGATGGGCCATCCTGATAAGGATTTACTGTTCACAATCAGGCTTGAAGGGAACAAAGATATCAAAACATATTCATTACATGGCTTTAAAATATAAACAGCAGACACGCCACCCTCTGACAGTTAGAACAACTATAGATTCCATCCCTGCACCTGCCTGTTCTTTCTCTCCATTGTTCTACTCCCTTGACCCAAAGACCCATTCCCTTTGAGGTCAAATGCAAAATTGTGCTTCTACATAGAATCTCCAAATTCTCTTTCACTCTGTGGTCTCTCTCCAGTGCTGTGATGGAGTGATTTACTAAATGATTTGTGTAACATATGCCAAGGTGCCAGTTAGAAATCGAGAATCAGAGTAGCGAATAATGGTGTGGGCCCAGAGGAGGTTTTAGAGAAAGCTTGCTCCTTCTTTAGCCCTGGGCAGTACTGGTTACCTGGGCCCTCAAAAGACCTGCTCCACCTCTGCTGAGTGAGATGGGAGTCCTGGCTCTTCAGGGTGGTGCTGCGGGGGGAGAGGCCTTGGTTTTCACCCTGCAAGGCAATGCTGGCGCCTCAGCTAGGGGTCACAGAGGCTTCACAGTAATGGAGTCAGTGGGTTCGAACCCCAGGGGTCCTAAACTGAGTAAGTGGAGTAAGATTGTGGATCACAAGAGAGAGAAGCAAAGGTGTCAGTGTCTGATGCACAATGGGGATGCAGAAATGTGGATGGACCCAGAGTCCTTCGTGCTGCCTGATGCCATGCTTAAGCATATGGCTGCTGGGGGCTAATTATCTGAGCCCAGGACCCTACCGTTGACACTTTGTAGTTTTAGGAAAAGCACCTTTTGCCTTGGTTTCTCAGAATGGAAAGTGAGCATTTTATAAAACACTTTGTGGGTTCCTGACCCAGGAGCCATACTTAGTAATCATTGACTATGATTGCTGAGGGGCTGCACCTTCATAAAAGGGACTGAAAATGATATGACTCATTGGAATGAAAACCTGGGAGAATGAGCAAGGAATGACACTGCGCATGTGTGATAGCACATCCACAACAAGAGGGGAGAAGCCACCGACCTGTTCTGCTTCCCCTCTGCCACTCCCAAAGCTGCAGAAATGCAATCCTTCAGATCTTCAGAGCAGAAATACCCCATTCTGCATGACTGGGTCCCCAGTTCACTGATGCCTCTCCATATGCTCCTCTATGCAGGAAACATTTGCTATTTTCGTCTTCGGAGCTGAGTTTGCTTTGAGGATCTGGGCTGCCGGATGTTGCTGCCGATACAAAGGCTGGCGGGGACGACTGAAGTTTGCCAGGAAGCCCTTGTGCATGTTGGGTAAGCCCTGACCCTGTTGCTAGCAGAGCCTCAGTCCCTGTCCCTGCTGCATTGTTTCTGTGGGGTGATTGTAAGAAGCTATTCTGGGAACTCGTGTGCACTGGGGAGGCCAGCCCAGCCTCTGACCTTGCCTGCCTTCTGAAGGGAAGCTGCACCTGCCCCGAATGTCCATGGCAGTAATTCTGAAGTGTTTGGGAGGAGGCACCCTTCCCTGGCTTTTGGCTTGAGAAGAAGGGAGTATGAAGGACCTGAGAAGCAACAGTGACAAGACAAGCATCACCCCTAGAACTGTGACAGCATCCATCTCTATACTTTCCAGGTTGTCTGGCTAGCAAGATCAAGCGAGACACTTGTTGATAAGTTACTTTGATAGAGCCATGGTGTGCCCAAATTGCAGAGCTATGAACAGGTTCACACAGCTGAGTCATTTTCCGGCACATTAGCGGTGAGCAGTGCATTCTATCCTAACGCCCAGGTCTGCAAGAACCCAGCACCTGTGGTCTCTGTCCAGATGCTTTGCTTGTGTCTTCATCCTCTGCATGGGTGCAGACACTGCTGTCTGTGTCACAACACAAACCAATAGGGTTGTGTGTGAAATTGTTGCCAAACTCCAAGTTGCACAGGAAAGATATCTGCCTGACAGAACCTATTCTTGGAGTTTTACGGCTCTGTGGAGCATTAAAGTCATTGAGCATCAAGCACCAGTGTTGGAAGGATCTTCAATGGCATTTGGCCAAAACTGCCCCCTGGGTAGCATTCAGGAGCCTTGTAAGTGGTCACCCATGTCTGCTGGCACACCTCTTCTCTCAGGATGCCCAGATCTTTGAGCCCAGCCTTCGAGTTCCTCTCCTCCACTCAGGCATATGTTCCAGAACACATCTGACACCACGTGTTCTCAGAAGCCCAGTCCCTCGCCTCCTGACACATCTCTCATTCCTCACTTCCCACAGCCCTCAGACATGCATGATCAGCCCAGAGGAGCACTGGACTCCAAGCTTGGTCTGCCAGGTAGCCTGGGGGTGGGTACATTGTCTTCCTTGCTGACAACTGCAACCTCCCCGCCTCCCCAGTCCATGCCTGCAGCTGAAGTTGCACTTCTAAGCTTTTGTTCTTGCATAGAATATTAAATGCAAAAAAGTGTGTCAAATTTAGAAGTTTTAGTCACTATTTTTCCTGTTTCTGCCTTCTTCCTTTGCCTTCCTTCCACATCCACTCTACATCCTCTTCTTGGCTAGCTCCTTTTTTTCTTCCAAGTCTTTTACAAATTCCTTTTCTCCATTGCTGTGACCAGTCCTGTGCTGGCCAGAAGAGGGAGGGAGGGAAGGAGCAAGGGAGCGAGGGAGGAAGAGAGAGAGAATGTTGCAGATGGGACTCACGTATCTGGATGACGCTGGCCCAAATTCAGTTTGAGAGCAGCCTGGCCTGTAAGGCTTGGATCCCTTGAGGACAGGTGTGTTCTCACATGGCAGCAGTGATGGCAGGCCACTCGCCTGCCTTCCCTGGAGACTGAGAATGGGCCTCAGCATCATGGCACTCTTGCTGGCTTTGTTTTCCTTACATCCCTATATCTTCTGTTCTCTTCAGCCTGGCTACTCTCATTATGTGACCCATCTTAGCTTTGGGTTATTATAATGAAATACCTGGGCAAGCTAAATTATCAGCAATGAAGGTATATTTTGAGTCCCAGTTCTGGTGGTGCACAGACAAGTTTGGGTAGATTTCATTGCTTCATTCTTTGGAAGCAAATATATATATATATGATATATTTATCAGAAAGACCAAGTTACAGAGTCAGAGACTGAGGGGTGGAGTGAGGGAGGTTATCCAATTGCTGGTTCACTCCCTGAATGACTACGACAGCCGGGATTGGGCCATACCAAAGCCAGGAGTCAAGGTTATGGATGTCGGGGTCAAAGCACTTGAGCCATCCTGCACTGCTTGCCCAGGAGCCTTAGCAGGCAGATGAATTGGGAATAGAGCCAGTCAGGACTCAAGCCTGTGCTAATAGGGGAGGCTAGCAGTATAGGTTGTGCTTAACCCACCATGCCAAAAATGAAGAGGATAACCTTGATAGCAGTGTCCCCAGGCAACACACAGCATCCATGACAAGACACAGGAGATGCAGGTGTGCGAGGGAACTTCACAACGTGTGTGCATTTACAGATATATTTATAAGGTCTTATTTATCTATTTGAAAGGAAGAGTTACAGAGAGTGGGAGAGATAGGGAGAGATCTGTTATCTGTGGATTCCCCAAAAAAGTTGCAATGGCTGGATGCAGCTGAAATCCAGAACCAGGAGCATTTTCTGGGACTCCCATGTGTTTAGCAGCGGCCTCAACACTTGGGCCCTCTTTATTACTTTTCCCAGGCCACAACAGGAAGATAGATTAAATAAAACAGTCAGAACATGAACTTGCACCACATAGGATGCCATCACCATGGAGGGCAGCTGTATTCACTATACCATAGTGCAGTCCCAGAAATGTGTATTATAAAGTCCTATGCAGAGATTCCAGAATTTTGGTCTAAATCAAAACTTATCTTCTAATTGCATTTTCTACTAATTTTTAATTTTTTAAAGATGTTTTCATTTGAAAGAGTTGCACCAAGGAAGGGAGAGACAGAGAAAAGTCTTCCATCTTCTGGTTTATTCCACAGATGACCACAACAGCCAAGACTGGGCCAGGCTACAGCCAGGAACCAGGAGCCAGGGGCTTTATCTGGATCTCCCCTGTGGATGCAGGGGTCCAAGCACATAGGCCACCTTCATTGCTTTTCCCATGCCATTAGCAAGGAGCTGGATATCAAGCTAGTTCCCATTTGGGATGCCAGTAATGCAGGCGGCAACATTACCTGCCAGGTTAAAGTCCGTATTGGCTGTTGTCCATCCACTAGCTTTTTAAGGCTGCATCAGTTATCTTATAATGCCACCAGGATTCAGTCATGGGGTTCCCCTTAATAACTTTTTAAATCAAACTTATTTATTATTCCATGATACAGTTATGTAGGCTCTGGGATTCCTGCCCCCCCCCCCACCGACTAATTCCTCCATGTCATTGCAATAGTGTAGTCCTTCATAGTCAATCATAAATCCATCATTCTGCTAAGTGTATCCTGACATTGTAGGCATGGACACTGACAGACAGTCCAGCATCCTCTTAATAACTTAATCAAATGTGATCATTTCCCAAAGGCTCACCTCTAAGGATTATAATATATGACTTTCTAGCCTGTTAGTGCCGCAACGTAAGGCCTTCAGGAATAAATTTTTTGCGTGAGTTTTGGAAGTAGTTGCTTCTAGCATAACACTGCCTTCATGAGAAACATTGGTTTTCTCTGTGTGTGTGACAAGATGGTGGTGGTTGTGTCCATGAGCGTCTCAGCCCCATATCTGGGGCAGCTTCAGACCCTCCTGGTTGAGTACAATATCTCCACCTGGGAAATCCACCATCCTCACAGAGCATCAGACACCATAGCACCCACCATGCATCTCGCTTCTCTTTTGTTTATATTATGCATACTATAAGCAGATTTGCACAGATGAAGTGTGGAGCCTGCTCAGTGGCACAGACCTATTCCTGCCTAGATGCTTGACCCCAAGGTTTTCTGAGAGCTCAGGCACATGTGGAGGATATTCTGATAGGCAGAGAAGGCATCCGTGTTTGGGGCAGACCCACCTAGATTTGAACTGAGGAGTGTGGCTGTCGCAAGCTAGGAGACCAGCGCATAAAAAGATTAGCAGGTGTGAGGGAGCCCTGCGTGCTCAGAAAAGGACATAGGCTTCTGGAAGGTTCCCAGGAACCAGAGGAATTTAAGGAGTTCAGACTGCATAGTGGCTGATCATTCCTAGCCATGGGCTTCTTGGAACCCTTGCATTCTTGCAGCAACATAGCTCTGTGGTGAAGGTCTGTGGGAAACACCCAATTTCACTATTGCATTTGTGTGTCACAGAGCAATAGGGCATTATTGGGAAAGTGGAGGCTCTGAGGAGTCTCACACAGCCTGCTTCATTCAGTTGTACTCAAGTGTACTTCACCGTGGGTTGTTTTGACCTCCTAGCCCTGTACAGGACAGTGGGGACATAACTGATAGGGACTGGATGCTGCTGAAAGGAACAGGGAAGAGACCAAGTCCCCTCTTTTACATCCTTGACTGTTTCATTAGCCAGCATATCTCTCTCCGAACCACAATGGTGGACATTTCCACATCATCTCCCAATACCAGCATTCCATCTGGTGGGTTGCTTTTGTGTCTTTTCCAGTCTACCCCAACGTGTTCTCTAAACCTTGAAGAAGTCACTGGAGTGGTGCTTCTCAGAAGTTAGAGCCATTCACAGCCCAAAAGTGTTTCTCAGCCATCAGGGGATAATAACCCAAGGAGTGTACCCCATCTTTCAAATGGATGGGTTTTGTGAGGTGTTCTGCCTGCAGCTCAAATGACAGCCGCGACCTTGACATCAGCCCTTTTCTTGTTCTCCATATTTTCTGGGGGATATCCTGATTCCCTCTGTGTCTGGGGGAATCCCAGAAGCCATGGAGAATCACTTTTCTGGGATCTAGAACCAGCATTGCAGTTTTCAGCCTCACATTCCATCCCAACTCTCAGCCTCTTCCAACTTGTTGTGTTGGGAAGACACTTATACTCAGAGCTTTACTTCATCTGTCATAACAAAAGAATCCTACTTGTGACATGTGGGATGTCAAAATCCAGTGCAACAATGCCTAGATTGGCTGCTGCTTGGCACCTGTCTGTCCACTGCAGGTGGCCCTGTGATGATACCATTGCCTTCTCCTGACCTCTTCCCTCTCCTCTGCTGCTCTCTCTGTGTCCTTTCCCAGACATCTTTGTGCTGATTGCTTCTGTGCCGGTGGTTGCAGTGGGAAACCAGGGCAATGTCTTGGCCACGTCCCTGCGAAGCTTGCGTTTCCTGCAGATCCTGCGCATGCTGCGGATGGACCGGAGGGGCGGCACCTGGAAGCTCCTGGGCTCAGCCATCTGCGCACACAGTAAAGTGAGTGTCACCTGTGGGCTTCTCAACCACCCATGCCCTTCCATGGCACACCCTACCACGCACATCAGAAGGAATCCATTCTTCTGCCCCTAGTCATGACAGAAAACCGGGAGAGGAAGCAGTGCCTTAACAGGTGTAGAATCAGGGAGAGCTGAGCTTTGGTCTCAGCTCCACTGTTTGCTCTCCTTTTGCCAAGTCACTCAACCCTCTTTTGACTTCAGCTTCCTTGCTTTTTACTTCTGAAATTGTGTTATCAACACCTATTCCTCCACATAGCCAAGAGAACAAAGTGACCTCATGCAAGGCACTGTGCAGTGGGAGGGAATAATACAGACCTTTTGAATCCAAGCTCTACCAATGTAACTAAGGAAACTCATTGTAACTCCTGTAGGTCTTGGTTCCTGCATTTCTGAAGTGAGAATAAAAAGGGTTACTTTGAGGGTAAGCTGGATTGAGACATGAAGAGCCCGTAGAGTACACCCAGCTTGTAGAAATCATTTGGTTACTTATGTGAAGCCCAGAGAGCGGCACTTACGAGCTAATGCTTCATCCAGACCAGCTACCTCCATGAGTCAAGCATCACTTACCCCATTACCCTGACATGAAAGCACTCACTTAAAAGAGGAGGTGTCCCGCCCAAGTTCACAAACTGTGAGGTGGCCCCTTGTTTAGTGGTTGGCTGTTGACTTCAGCAGTGTTCACCTCTCCAAGTAATGCCTGGAACTAGGATGGGGGGACTCAGTTAAGCCCCCTTCAAGAGTCCCATGTGGTTGTGCAGATATAGGGTTCAAATAGCTGGAATCCAAGGTTATTGCACAATGAGGGATTGTGTTACAGGCACAGAGTAAAGGCGACCTTCCTCTCACAGGAATATGTCCTTGTGCCAGCTTTGGTGGACAACATGGATTGCTGTTGGTGCCCTGTCCAGTTCTCTTTTCCTGGGAACCCTGTGGCCACTTCCTCAACAGTCATTTGCAGATAAACCACATGTGCTTGAATCACTGTCTTGATCTGGGCGTCTGGGAAGCAGTACTGAGGCAGTGAGCCTGGGCAGTTTAACATTAAGGAGTTTAAGCATTTTCCTACCTAGTGTTGCTATGACCACAAACTCTTCCACTGGAAAGCTCCTGAATACAAGCATACAACTCCTAGCTTCTACATCCCGAGTTAACATTCAGATACACGGGGGGTGGTTTCCTGTGCGATGACATGGTATAGTGACATTCAGTGAGCTTCAGAGTCAGACAGTAAGTGACAGGGTTCAAAATGTACTTGACGTGCTTTGCAGCTGGAAGACCAGGATGTCTCTGTATTTGTGAGCTTCCCCAATGGTAAAAGGAGAGTCTTCTGACTGCATTTAAGGGCATAGTGGCCCGTAGGTACTTATTAACAGTATGTTTATCATTCTGACCATTCTCTTCACAAATCATGCAAATGAATGTATAAATTAAGTGGAATAAAATCACAAAATACCAAGGAATTCTTATTACCTGTCTGCACCACCTCTTTCTGCAGAATTCACACAATCGAGGCTTTACCGAATTCCATCTTCCTTCTAACCCTTTAGTTTCTCTCTATCACAGGACACTTTACAGCTCCCCTTAGGTAAAATATGACCTTGTTGTTAATAGAGCTGAGCTGACTCATAGCACAGGTTTTCCTTCCTACCACAACAGACCCCTGCACCTGCTGCCTTTTTTTTAAAAACAATGTGCTGATCAGCATGTGCTGGTTTTCTGTGCAGTAATTCCTCAGGGAAGCTGGTCTCTCATGCAGCAGGCTGGTAACCAAGACAGGGACTGCTCCCCAGAGCTGGAAACAGCTCTAGACAGCTCTTGCTTAACTCCAGGGTCTGTATTGCGAGTGCCCATCAAGTCCTCACAGCTCTCTGGAGCTCAGAAGAACTATTTCCCCTGAGAGGGTCACCATGGCATTGTGGTGAGCAGGCATGTACCAGTTCATATCTTCCTTTCTGCATTATGTTCTGGACTGAGCCCTATATTCACTTCCTTCAGGCATCAGAGGTGGAAAATGAGAGGTCTGTGACCTACGGGGACAGACACTGAAAGCTTCTGCTGCTGCTCATTAGGGTGGACCCAGCTCTGCTCCAAGAATGAGGAAGCTGTGCCACTCAGCACAAAACACTGAGGTCTCCCACAGAGAGTGTCTGATGTGTGCTCGCTGAGCCATGTCTGTCTTGAAGATGAGGCCTTGAGTCATCGAGGCAGGGCAGAAGGGCCCGGCCCATCCTGCAGAAGGGATTTAAAGCACAAGAAGGGAGTTGCTCCCATCATTCCACATACTACCTTGGCTCCCAACCCCTTAGGCATAGCTTCACATGTGGAAGACTCAGTGGACATTGAAGTATCACTGTGGTTCTGGGATGCACTTGTGGGCAGAAGACAGATACATCCAGGATTGCCTTGGATTTCCTTTCAGAAGGCTGCAGAGCACAGAACTGGGGCCTATTTTTTCATTCCTCATTGGTGATTGTTTCAAGTTCTCTTATTAATCCAACACAGCCAGTTTTCCTGTGCACACATCAATACCGAGAGGTTTCCTGGGGTCACAGCCAGATGAGGTTTCTGATTCTCACTTGGAGACCACAGGGGGTGAAGAAGTATTTAAGCACTGAGACCACACTCCACAAGGCAAGAAGCCCATGCTCAGCCAGCCCCTGGGGAAGGACTATCCTGTTCCTATCCATTCCTCTCAGACTCCCTGCTTGTCTGCCCCCATCCCCCAATCCCTGCCACGGAGAATGGCTGGCCAGTTTGCCCATGCTGACTGAGCTACCTTCACTCTGTGCTGTGACCAGGTGCACCTGAGCACAATGATGTCTCAGAGAGCTGGACTAGCAGGAAAAGAGTGAAGTTCTAAAGGTTCTACAGGTGAACTCCATCCTGGGAAGATAAATCCTGCAAAGTCTGAAGAGAACATTCTGTGGTCTTATGAAGAGAGGGTCCCATCAAGAGAAAGTAGTTCAGGCCACAGGATCCACATGGACCCTCGCACGGAGGGAGACAAGAAGCAACCGACTGGTTCAGAAAGCATGTGGACTTGAGCAACTGAGTTATCTGTGATGACTCTGCAAGAAGAGCCACTCTTATCCCTAGACTGTGGTCTAGAAACTTGACCATCTTTGCACCCAACCTACCATTCTTGCCCTTGACACTGACGTTAAAGAAAAGTGAAGGGCATTAAAGATGAAAGGAACATTAGAAATTTCCTCTATCAGGATGGCAAAACTTCAGTGATAGGCTGATCTAGGCTTTCTCTCTGTACCATTCTTACTAGTTGGTACCATTTTTTAAACCAACTTCCTGGGGCAGCAGTTGTGACACAGTAGGCAAAACTAGTACCTGCAGTGCTGATCTCCCAGCATTGTGCCGATTTGAGTCCCAGCTGTATTGCTTCAGATTTGGCTCCCTGATACTGTGCTGGGAAAGCAGCCTAAGATGGACCAAGGGTTTGGATCCCTTCCTGCATCTACATGGAAGACCCAGGATGGAATCCTAGGCTCCCGGCTTCAGCTAGGCCCAGTCCCATCCATTGCAACCATTTGCGGTATGAACAAGCGGATTGGAGCTCACTCTCTCCCCTTTCTATTTCTTCCTCTCTTTATGATTCTTTCAAATAAATCAACAAATCCTTAAGAAAAAGTAAATTCCACTGTTACTTGGTGGCATGTCCTATTGTGTAACCTAATACCTTTGAAATCATAGGCTTGGTGTTAAGCTTATTTCAGCCATGTTCCAAGTTGGCATGTGACTGTGCAACAGACACTATTTAACTGCCACCCCCTGATGTGTATGACACTTTCAGGAACTCTGAAGTGTGGTCTCTTCATTTCCCAACTGGGAACGTGAGGCTGGGCCTCCTGGGTGGGGAAGCCGAGGAGGTAGATCACATAGGAAATTGATGACATAGCTAGATCGTTGCCCACAGCTCTGCTTTGTGCCATGCCCGCTCTCCAATGCCGTTTATTTCCTGTAGCACAGAGCTTTATTCTTGCTCTGCGTAGCCCAGTGTGCAGTTGACTCCCTGAGGCATTGTCCTGGAACCTCCTGAGGTCACAGGGAGCCAGAAAGCCCCCTCCTCTCCTCAAGCAACTCACTTTCTGGGTTAATTATCATTATAGACAATAACTCTCTTGCAGATCCCATTTGACAGTGCTGGGGATGAGGTTCAGAGGAGGGGGTTCATGGTCTCCTGGAACAGAGCTGGCGAACCTGCCTGCAAACTTTACCCCATGAAATGCCAACCATCCTACCCATTTCCTCTTTCAGGAACTCATCACTGCCTGGTACATCGGCTTCCTAACACTCATCCTTTCTTCGTTTCTTGTCTACCTGGTGGAGAAGGATGTGCCCGAAGTGGATGCCCAGGGAAAGGAGATGAAAGAGGAGTTTGAGACCTATGCTGATGCCCTGTGGTGGGGGCTGGTGAGTCTCCCTCCCCTCTCCACCCGACACCAGCCCTGTGGGGACTGACAGTACAGAGACATGGCCTGGGCACCCTTCACTCAGACTGAGGAGCCAGCCGCTGCCTTCTCTGAATGTGTCCTGATGACTGGAGACACTCCTCACAGGAAGGGCTGTTGAAATGGAATTTTCCATGGTACTTTCAGGAAGTCAGGACTTAGGACATGCCTTTGCTCGACGTTGCTTGGGATGCTGCCATCCCCTGTCAAAGTGCCTAGCTTTGATTCCCAGCTCCACTCCCGGATTTCAACTTCTTGCTGATGCCTTACCCTAGGAGGCAGCAGATATGGCTTCAGTGATCACAGCAGACCCGGGTTACATTTCTCACTCCTGAACATCTGGTGCATGAACTCACAGATGGAAGTTTTCTCTCCCTCTCTTTCCTTCTACCTCTCACATATATAAAAATGTTAAAATCATTTTTTTTTTACCAAGGAAGTCAGGCCTTACAATTTTCTGTGTGCTCCTCAGGGGATCTTGGCTGTTAGCAATGCCATGCAGGGGCCAGCAGACATCATGGCAGGTACATGTGAATGCACAAAGATATCGTGCGGGTGTACACAGGTGTACACAGATTTGAAGGCCCACATAGAAGTGGAGCTCAACAAGGGCACACTGTGCCCAAACAGCAGTTACCAAGTGCTTCTGTTTCCAGAGAATCACTGTGGGCACTCTACATGTGTATACTTTAAACTCAGCCCTGCCATTAGCTGCTTTGAAAAATGTGGAAACTGAGGCATGAAGAAATTGACTAATTCCAAGATTCTCAGTCGCTTCTTATTTGGCTCGTGATTTGAAGATCAGTCGGTCCCCAAGGGCTGTATGGGGAACTACTCACTCGGGTAACCTGGCTTCCATGTGCTGCTACACCTGTAAAGTGTGCATTGACAATATAAGCTGGTAAACACACAGGTATACCATTTACCAGAATAAGCACACATAATGTTAGCCCTGCACATGGATCCACAGCACATCCAAATCCACAGGCACATTCACTCAAGAAGGTAGCTGTACACAAAATCACATATTCACAAATAGACACACGGATGCACATGTACACACACCTACATTGTGTGTAATGACTGAGATATCAGTTGACTGATTCGTTAGAGGTAGGGAGGCCTTAGCTCCCTAACAGGCTGCAGTGTGAAGTCAGTCCCACAAGTTGCTCGGGTGTTTTGTGCCCTGTCTGTCCCGGGGCCCTGGTGAGAATAGGTCCAGAAGCCTCATGATGGAGCTCACACGTGGTAGCATGGAGTTCCCTCTTCCTGAGGTGTTGGTCTTTTCCTGTGCAGATCACGCTGGCCACCATTGGCTATGGAGACAAGACTCCAAAGACGTGGGAAGGCCGTCTGATTGCTGCCACCTTCTCCTTAATTGGCGTCTCCTTTTTTGCCCTTCCAGCAGTAAGTAACATCCACGTTTCCCCCCTGGGCAGACAGGCAAGACCTGTCCCCTTTTGTCCCAGCTGCTCCCTCCAGCCTGCTCTTCATGCTTTCACCCCATAAATCCCACCCTGCCTACTCACCAGCCGTCCCCTGAAGCCGTGTCAGGATGGTTCAGGCCAGCCCTTCCTTTGCTTTCTAGGTTGTCCTCTGTGGCTGTGCCTGTGGCTCCCTCCTCTGGCTGTAGCTTTGTAAAGGCATTTAGGGCTTGTACTGGATTACACATTTCTCTCTCTGTCTCTCCTCCAGGGGGCTGGGATGATGTCTGTTTTTTCTGCCTTGTTTTTTTTTTTAAAATGCTTCGAATATCACTTAATAGTTGTACATATTTATGGGGCACATTGTAAATCATACAAGGCGTACCAATCAAATCTGCATTGCTTACTACCTTCCAGTTCATTAAACACGCAGTATGTTTTTGTGAACTGTAGCTACTCCTCTGTCCTGTACGATACTAGAACTTTCCCCTTCTAACTGAATTTTGGGACTTATTATTCAACACCCCCACCTCTCCATCTTCCCCTTCTCCCACTGTTCCCAGCCCCTAGTAATCAGTACTGTACATTCGGAAGTTTTTAGCTTCTACCTGTGTGATATGTCTCTGGATTACCCAACACCACGTTCTCCAGTTCCAACCTTTTTGCCACAAGTGAAGAATTTCACCCATGATTTCCCAGCACTGACCACAGCACAAGGCTCTTCTTTGCCCTATCACTCATGGGTTTATGTAAAAATTGCACTTACCCAAAGGAACTTTTAGAAGATTTAATGAAACAACCTCCCCAAAGCCCGCTACTACAGATGTCTAGTAGTAACAGTAAACCTATGGCATTTATTGACTTGCTCTGTGCCTTTTACCTATGTTGCCTCATTTAATCTTCATGATGACACTAGTTGGCTGCTGTACTTAGTTTGTTTTCCAGATGAGTAGACTAAGACTTAATTGGGTTTGTAACTTTCCCAGTCACAAGGCTCTGTGGCTGTGGAGCCAGGGATCTGTCAGGCTCTGAAGACTAGCCCTGGGCGTGAAGCTGGCAAAAGGTCTTTGAAAACCATCCCTCTCCGCTCCCTGCATCTCCCATTCTTCCATGGCGATGTTCTTTCTCCACTGGCAGCCTTGCCTTGGTTTCTTGTTGTTCTGATCTTTTGGGCCATGGGCAGATGATCTTCCTTCCTGGTTTTTGTGTTTTTTTTGTCTGTTTGTGTGTTTGTTTTTTTACCAGTGAAGCAGATGAGGAATGTAGAGGTGCCTCAGCTCTCAATCACTCAGCTCTCATTCGTATTGAAAACTGTGGGTTTCTATCTGTGTGCAAAGCAGACATCAAAACCATCACAAGTCAGGGAAGACTCTGACTTCAGTTGACGCCTCCAATGACAGTTCAAGGAGTTAAAGTACTTTTCAAATCCATTTTGCATTTGCAAGCATCTGTTCAGTTTCATCCCTCACTAGGTAGTTCCTGTGTTAGCTTATTTTTGTCTTAACAGAAGTAGGAGTCAGGTCTTAGGGCCTCACTGCCCCATGGCAGGAAGGAGAGGGAGTCTGGATAACAGGCCCACCCTCGGTCGTATAGCTAAACATGGCATTATGTTTGGAACCAGCCTTGCTAAGTTGAAACCTTGTTTGCCTTAGTCAAATACACTGTTCCCTTTTCCCTACTCTGTGCAGTGCCCTTGCTGGGCTACACAGCATGCTGATCCAGCTGTTCGTGCACGAGGAGAACCAAGGGAGCACACTGGGACTGACCACTGGCTTAACTTCTCCTTCCAGGGCATCCTGGGCTCAGGGCTGGCTCTCAAGGTACAGGAGCAGCATCGTCAGAAACACTTTGAGAAAAGGAGGAAGCCAGCAGCTGAGCTCATCCAGGTCTGTGTGCCGGGAACGGACTGAAGTGTGTGTGTGTGTCAGGGTGGGGAGAATCCACTCATATATATATGCCCCCAGAGAAAGAAGACACACCGCACTCAAGACATGAACAGGACCAGGATGCTGTGTGTTCATTCACTCCCGGGCAGGAAAGCAACAGGTCGTCTTGCTCATGCCCACTTGTAGGTGAATGGCCATGGTCATTACCATCATGATCTGTATACCTCCTCTCTGTGTGAACTAAGAATGACAGTTCTACCCAATTCCCATGCAACTTCTAAGCCAAACAAGAAATAGACAATTGATGGGGTCAACCTATTAGCTTGTTTACTGATGATGTTAGTAGCGAATCTGACTCAGTCTTGGGATTGCACAAGGCTTCCTTCTACTGGTTTTCATACAAGACTTGACTTCAGGGACACTTGCATTCCAGGGGCTTATATATTTGGGAGCAAGAACTGGCTCCCTCACAATCTGCTAGGATAGAGAGACCTAAGAAAAGGCAGAAGAGCTTGCTTTACATGTGCAAAATAAACAATGAACCACCTCACCCATTTGTCATGCCCAGTAAACAACCATGAGCCAGGAGAAGTTGGATACCTACCAACTTTCCAGCTCTTCCTACTGCCCTGGTTCTGGGTGAGGGGGTGGGGATTACAGTGAGAGATGGTAAGGGCAGAAGTGTACTCTTATACTTCAAAGGAAGGTTCTGCTTCATGACCTATGGCCGTTGGGAGTTGCAAACTTGGCCAGTCATACAGTAGTGTCCCAGCCATGGCTACCGCAATTCTCAGGAGATGGGCACACACCTGTGAACTTGCTTCTAGTTGTAACAAGTGTTCCTGTGGGACTGTTGTGTCTACAATAGGACATTGTGTGATGTCATCTTATATCATGTGATTTCTCTGTCAATTCCCCTCTCTAAGTATCTGCCCCATTATTTTGGCAAGCTAGAAAATACCAGAGCATTCCATGATTTCTAGAAAATCTTAGTACCCAGATTTTCACTGGACTCTTGTCTCCTACCCAGGAGTGGCACAAAAAAAAATCCTACTTGTTTTCTTATCTATCTGTTAGAACTGAGAGGTCTCAGCGAACCCTCTATAAAGAGTGGCCCCTATTTCCTTCAGGGATTCTGTACCTTCTGTGCTTCCTCTAACATATCTGTTATAGGAGTAAGATGGTCAGATGTTTATTTTTCTAAAGGGAATTACTGAATCCAGGAATGTTGTGGCTTATAGGATGCTCAAATTCTTAAATCAGGAACCTACAAATTGCTTCAATGCCATGGGATTTTATCTGTGTCTGTGTGTGTATATATATATACACAGGATGATGCAATCAAGCATGTTGAGCACCCACACAAAACAAGGATGCAGATCCTCAGTCCAGGCGCTAACAACTCCACATCCAGAGACAAGTTCAGCGCCCAAGCCATTTTCAGCTACCATATATAAATTTATATATATATATATATATATATATATATATATATATAAATTGCTTCAATGCCATGGGATTTTATCTGTGTCTGTGTGTAAATATATATATATATATATATATTTGTGGGAACATGCCAGAAGACACTGGATCACCACTGTCATCCCACTCTTTCTCAGGCTGCATGGAGATATTATGCTACCAACCCCAACAGGATGGACCTGGTGGCTACATGGAGGTTCTATGAATCCGTTGTCTCTTTCCCATTCTTCAGGTAAGTGACAACTCTAGAATGTTCAGACTCTGGGTCACCATCCTTTTGCGTTGATCACTGGACATTTTTCTTGGCAGTGGCTTCCTTTGGAGGCTGCCCATTAAAATAACCTAAGAGCTAAAGGGATCTTAGTGTATAAGCTGTATTACAGCGAGATCAAGTCAGAACCCCTACACCTGGGCCCAGGCAACACAAATTTTTTTTATAAAGATTATTGACTTGAAATGCTGAGCAACATGAACAAGAGAGAGAACCACAGAAAGAGAGAGAAATCTCTGTTACTATTGATTTTACAAATGGCCTCAGCAGCCAGGATTACACCAAGTTGAAGCCTGGAACCACAGCCAGGTCTCTCACATGTATGGCAGGAGTCCAGTTGCTTGAGCCATCACCCACTGCCTACTCCGGTGCATTTGCAGGGAACTGAATTACAAATGGGAGAGCCAGGACTCTAACCAGTAGTAATTTGGGATGATGGAATTGCAAGTGGTGGTTTTACCTGATTCATACAACACTGGTCCCAGTAGCAGTAATTTGAATCCCCCTCCCAATACAATGCCTGGTGTCACCAGCCAGGGACAGCCTGTTGAACAGTGTGGAAATGAATGACTGATAGGAAAGGTCTCCTTATTTTAGGATGAGAACCAGGGTGCTGAGGATTAGTTAGCTGTCCTGGCATGGCATTGTGAATCAGAAGTGCTGTTTCATGGTCTCAGAGGTAGGATATTGAATTAAAACCTCAAAGGAAAATAGGAATCTCTTTCCCATGGACAGCATGTGGAAAAGAAAGAAGGGAAATTATTTTTGTTAAATATTCAGTGTGTTTCAGGCTTCAAGTTCCTGTTTCTGTAGGGGTACCATGGGAGAGAAAACAGAAATGTTCAAAAGCTAAGATGAGTTAGATTCAAGGGGAACTGTTGACATGCAGAACCAGGGTCAAGCTTCAGCAGTCTGGGTGGAGGTTTGGAGGGAAAGGCATCTTGAAGGGAAGTCCCATGATTCTGACACAGTGGCCCGCAGTGCACCTGAGCCTGAGTGGGAGAGGCATTCCCAGCTTCCCGTGCAGATGCATGAGCTGAAGCTTTGAGATTCTGAACACTTCTCCCGGAGTCAGCTGAGGTCTGCAACTCCTCTGGTCTTTTGCAGGTCTTGGGTTTCCAGTATACACTGACCGTCAGGTTTTAGGTACTGTGGTAGTGATCCTGTGCTCTAATTTCTTATGTTTGTGGCCAAAAATTCTGGACTTCTACAGCATTAGCTTGGAAAGAAAAAGAGAGACACAATTAGCTTTGCACTGAAGCTGGAACCAGCTCAGAAGCATATCTCCGATGTGTACCTGTCATGAATGTGACCCAGTACTGGAGGGTGGCTTCTTCCATTCTAGCCTCTGCTGGACCTGTGCCCAGTCTGAGCTCTGCCTCAGTTTATGTCTTCACCCTCAACATTGGTTTAGGGTAGGGAAATAAGGAAATGCAAGATATTTGAGTTCCATTGGATCATTTCCCTGCAAAAACCCTCCCGGTGGGTGACCATGGCCAAGAAGAAAATCAGAGATGTAACCTAAACCTCAGTTTAAGGGCCCTGTAAGATCAGCTCCTTCTGACTGCTACACACACACACACACACACACACACACACACACACACACACACACACACACACACACACACACACACACACACACACACACACACACACACACACACACACACACACACACACACACACACACACACACACACACACACACACACACACACACACACACACACACACACACACACCCGCCCCGCCCCACCTCACCCAACCTCTCCACATCCTACCTGCTTTCTCCACTCAGGAGATTCTAGTAACAGGTACTACTTTATATTCAGGTAATTGCGTTCATCTGGGTTGTTTGTTTGAGCTCTTTGTATACACTAAACACTGAGTCAAACCAGGAAGGGACAAAGGAGACCTAAAAAACTTGGATTCTTAAAGCAATGAGAAGCCAAGTGAACCAGGGAACAACATGATCAGATCTGTGTCTCATGAAGAGGACAACAAGGAGTGGTAGAGCAAGTCAGACCCAAGATGCAAGGATGTCAGCTAGCACACAGTGGCAGAGTGCAGGGATAAGGATAAGCTCCCAGAGCAAGGCAGAATCAGCAAGAAGAGACAGTAAAGGGAGAAGTTCAATGACCAGAAGCTTGATAAGCCAGTAACTTTTGGAGGAGATAGATGAGAGAAACCAAAGCTTTAGTAAATAAATTCATGATAAAATGTAGGTTGATTTGCCTACTCAGAAGATGATATACATGGTTCATTCTGGTTCTCAAATTCCAGCATCACTTAACCGTTTATAGTTTTAGATAACATAGTCTTCTTAGAATGGGCAGGTAGCTTCCTCTCAAGAGAGTGACCTTGAATGTAAAAACAAGAACGTGTGCAAACACAGTGATTGCAGAACCAAGATGAGTTTTGTTTGCTGTGCATCCCAGGGTCTTGGCAATGAGCCCATTCTTTTGAGCTGATTTATTATAAATAGGCATTGTCCTAGCTGTCAGAGTCTTGGAGGAGTACATTGTGCTGCAGACAGCTGCTGTGATATGGGAATGGCTTTTAAACTAAGAGGGAACATTTCCTTCTTCCTTTCATTTTCAAGGACAAAATAGAAAGTCACTTGAGAAATTCTTTTAGAAACCTTTATGAAACAAGGCAGTCCTTTGGGAGAGGAATGTCCCGAGTTCCAACCCACCCATATACTAATGACCCCAAATGTGTGTCCTCAATTGTCCTCTAAAATTTTTACCTGCCAGTTTGTTTTTAAATAATGGCTGTATTCAGATATATTTCACAACCAATAAGAGAATTTTATGAATCATAAAAGATACATCTTCCAGTGTTAATGATTTGTTGGTTTTGAGTCTATTGACAAATTTTATCATCAATTATCAGTCTAATTTCAGAAAAAAAAAAAGGCATTGCTCCAGAAGGAGGCCATTCACTTAGGAGCAGTTACTCCTGGCTTTGTCTTCCGTGGCCCTTGCAACCACTCATGTAATTTTGGTTGTTCATGTGCCTATCATAAATATTTCGCACAATAACAAAATCATGTAATTATTGCATTTGTGTATGCTTAGTATTTTCATATTTCACTCATGTAGATCATTGTACCAGAACATTATTCCTTTTCATGATACAAAAACATCCCATTATATAGACCCTAGCTCATGTCTGTTCATGAGCTAAGGGACGACTGGGTTGTTTCTGTCTTTTGGTTATCGCGACTGCTGCTGCTGTCAACATGTTCTGTGGACACGTTTCATACGGCCGTGATGTCTACCCAGCATTTGAATTGTTGACTCTCTATTTTGCCTTTAGAAGATGTACTGCTTGGTTGCTTAAATGTAACCATGGAACTCAGTTGAGCTTGATCCTTTTTGCAGTGTAAGCTGGATAGATGGTGGCCACTGCCCACTTGTTATTGAGCATTTGATTATTCCTATGAAATAGAGCAACTCTGGTTTAATTTTAATTTTAGTAGCCATATTTAAGAATAGTCTTTGTGGTACAGAGGGTTGAGCCAACACTTAGGATGCCTAAATCCTGTATCAGAGTACCTTGGATCCAATTCTGCCTCTGCTTGCTTTCTGTTTTCCTGCTAATGCATATTCTTGCAGGTAGCAGATGATAACTCAGGGTCTTTGGTTCTAGCCTCTTACACATTGAGTGGCTGGCTCCCAACTTCTTCTGGCCCAGTCCTGGTTGTCGGCGGGCATTTTGTCAGTGACTAGCAGCACTCATGTCCACTCTTTTATATTCTTCCCCCTCATAAATAAAAAACTGTATAATCTATATAGCTATATGTGACTAATGACTGCAACATAGTGCTGGAATTATTAAATAATTGGAACTGAAATGGAGGTAAGACAGGCTCAAGGCATGGAATTTACTTGTCCAAGGGCAGTTATAGTTCTGGGTAACCAGAACTTATTCCTTCTGTGAGCAGGGTCAGATGCATAGAGTTGGAGGGAAAGAACTATACTCATAATAATTCTATATGACAAAATAACATTGGATCTGTTTTCCTAAGTGTTATTCCATATTTAGACAAGATCAGGCACATTCAGGGTGGTATGGCCATAGACATTATTCCATATTTAGATGGTAAATACTAGTAACTCAAATTTTCATAGCCCAATTTAAATGTATATGTATACATATGTGTGTGTATTTGAAAGAGTTAGAGAAGGAAAGGCAGAGATCTCCCATCTACTCATTCACTTCCCAGCAGGCCACAATGGCCATGGCTGAGCGACGCCTGAGTCAGGAGTCAGGAGCTTCTTCGATGTTTCTTGTGTGGGTTGCAGGGGACCAAACCATTGGACCTTCTCCTACTCCTTTTCCAAGGTAATTGACAATGAGCTGCATTGGAAGTTGAGCAGCCAGGGTTTGAACTGGCACGCGTATGGGATGCTGACATCACAGGTGGCACCTTTACCTGCTGTGTCACAGTGCTGATCCCTTATTACCCCATTTTACAGGTGAAGAATCAGAATGCCGTTGATTAATTAGTCTTGGCTAATATTATCTCCCTAGCAAATGAAGGAGCAAAGATTGGAACCCAGGCAGTCTGCCAGTACATATTCTATTACATTTCTAGGAAGAAAATATTATTTGGGGAAAAATTCAGTAAACTAAGATGAGACAAAGATAATTGGATATTAATACCTATTTCTGAAGATTGGTACTGTGAGGTCAAATTAAACAAAGTGTGTGAAAGTGTTTTATTACTTGGCCCATAGCGAGTGTTCAGTTTGTGCTGGCTGAATCTAGGCTGGGAGAAGTATCCACATGACAGCATAGAGAGATGAAGGGAAAAGGAATATATTGAATTCCTAAATTATAGTCCTGGGAAACCACTGTTAGTGACCACAGAACTAGAACACTGTCCAGATTGTGGTTAAAAGCCTCTTATTCATTCATTGTCTTCATCTGGAAAACTATTTACTGTGTTTATTAGATTTTGTGCTGGGTCTCTAACAGTGAATGTGTCAGGGTCAGCTGCCCCAGTTTGAGGAACAAAAGAGGGATGTGCCCTGTGGACATTATTACTTGGAGTCTGTCAGGACTTTGCCTAGAGTAATCTCAGTGGAGCATGGGGCATAAAAGCCAGACACGTGCAATTAAGCAAGAAGAGGAAATGAGCAAGAGAGATGGCAAGCTCACATGGCAGCTAGTGTGGCTTATGGTGCCAAGCATTCTTTCTTTGGTGGGGAAGCCAGCAGCAAAGGGCAAACGTAAAGGCAGTGGTAGAGGGGAGGCACTAGAAGAGATCATGGGACCCTGAACAGGTCTCAACTGGCCTTTGTCATGAGCATGGACCCTTCATTTATTGACACAGACTCCCTGCCAGGAGGGTGGGGCTGAATGTAGGAGTCAGTTGACTTCATGGTTGGATCACAGAGCAAGTCTCAGAAGTCAAGGTCAATAACAGTAGAGGTCAAGAAGAGTAGGGGAATGTGTAAGTCTGAGGCTAAAGGAGGTGGCTTGAAGTGGTTGTCATGGAGACGGAGCTGGGCGTGGAAAGCAGCATCTCTAATTGTTTTAGTTTTGCTCCTTAGCTCACTTCCTTCATTCTCCCTTTTTCCACTTTATTACCTTCCCTACTCCTGCAGGAGTTAGCTTTGTGTCCAAGGGGGATATGTGGCATGGCAGTTACACTGGAGCTGGGTGGTGTACTGACCGTGAGATGGGTATGCCCTTTGCCTGCTCTGTCATGCTTCCTTCTATTCTCTACTTACGCCTCTCACTTCTGGGTCCCATGATAAGTCAGCATATTTGTCTTTTCATCATTTTGTCCACATTCCCCATGTGCTGGGATCTAAAAGCTGAAATTCTAGAGCTGAAAAGCAGAAACAGGCTCTGCTCTCCAGCAGCTCATAGGCTGCTGATCTGATCGGTAATCACAGGGGACCAACTCCACATGCAAACAGATTTCCTTGGTCCCCATTCTAGGGAGTTAGGGTGAAAACCAACTTATACCCCTAAGGAAAAACCCCAGGTAGAACTTTCCAGGTGAGTAAGGCTGCTCCAGTCAAAGGGAAGGAGGGGATTCTTACAAGGAACAGACCCTAAGCAAAGGTTCAGTGTCATGAGAATGTGCCTGGTGCCTATGTAACACCCTTGTAGTTAGGAGGGAGAGCTCTACGGCCAGATTGTTTAAGCTTGGATCCTGAAATCTTGAGCCATTTAGTTGACTTCCCTGTGTCTTGATTTCCTCATCAGATAAATGAGATAGTGGTACTTTGTTGTGAGCACTAGATGAATGCATCACACAAAGATTAAAATAGGACTGAGCTGGAGTGGGAGTTGGACATACCAGCAGAGACATTGATCTGCTTTACATGTCTGGTGCCTGGGTTTGAATTCTGGCTTCTGCTCCCAATTCCAGTCTTCTGGTAATGTGAACCGAACAGTGAACGTGACAGTAGCTGGGCTCCTGCACCCACGTTGGAGACCTGCACTGAGTTCCTGCCTCTTAGCTATTGCAGGTGTTTGGCAAGAGGGAAGCAGCAGCAGCTCTATGCCTTTAAACTGAAAGCAAATCATGTCTACCTGGTAATAACTGTTCAGTAAGTTACAGGCGGTGGCAGTGTTGACTGTGATGACTGCTGCACTGTGACACTCTTGGTTCCCTCATCTGTACGTGTCAGTAGACAGATCTCCTGGTACTAGTACATAGTAGGTGCTCAGAAAACATTGTGTGGGTGAGCAAACGAACGGTAGCTTAGGAGAACCTTGAGAGCTCAGCCAAATGGCAACAGTCCAGATCTGGGGTATGGCTGGAGACTCCCACTTCGTACCTTAGCCACCCCATCACTCATAATCTTATCCCAGAGTCATGTTCAAAGGGAAACTTCAGGGCAAACTTGGCACGAATGCAATCATGCTGTTTGTTTATGCTTTCTTTCCCCCCTTGCTTTTCTCCTTCTAGGAAAGAACAGCTGGAAGCAGCAGCCAGGTAAGTCTGTGGTTTTGAATCCCTTTCCTCTCACCCAAATGTTGGGTTCAAGGGCCCAGGTGGCCATGCTGGTGACTGGATAGACTCTGCAGGGTCACAATAGTTGCTGACTAGCATGTCCCTCTGCCATTTCCAAGGTAACTAAAGAGGAAACGTTAACAGTAGTCATTACCATGAGTGTCTGCCCTGGGCCAGGACCTGAGGTGACTTATCTGTGCAGGAGTGCATTGGATGCCAGAGACGTTGAGTCATTCCACTCCGATTAAGAGTGCATGAGGTAGGAGACCAAAATTCAGTCAGATCTCAACACACAGATTTTATTTCTACTACATGCTATTTCGTTTGCTTCTTGGGCTCACAGATGACACTTGAAAAAGTGAACAGATTATAAAGTATTACCCCCACAGCTGTGATGATCTCCCAGACAACCAGAGTCACTGCAGGGTACGGAAAGACTTCCAAGCTGTGGGCATTTTTATAGTCCTCCCATCTGCTTTCTCTTTAGAAGATGTCACAGTGTCAGGAAAAGAGGACTCTGGCCCGGATTGTAAGGGAAGATGAGTTCTTGAAAAGAGCTATTTAAATTACTTAGATATCTATAAATAGAAATGTACATATATACATATAGGGAGCTTTATGTGTTCCTGGACTACTATTTCTGTGGACAAACCACTTATGGTCCCTGAGTCCAACTAATGTTTCTAGAGCCAACAGAACTTGCACAGAGAAAGTAATGGGATCCCAGACTCATAGAGCAGCAACCTCTTGAGACCAGGGGCACTTGGGTGCTAAGCCAAGCCCTCTTGTGTATGGTTCATGATAGAGGGCCTGCACATAGAACCCCTTAGAAGAAACACTTGCTAGCAGTACCAGTTTACTCCCATGTGGGAGATGGTCTCTACGTCTCTTTCATGTGCTCTCAAACAGACTGAGCGTGGCTTCTCTGGAGGGATTGTAGCGAGGGCCGGATCATTAGTGACAGCCGGGGAGGACAGTAGTGGGTGGCTGTATGCAGCTCATGGCTCACAGAGGCAAGGCGCAAAGACAGATCTCAGGGTCTCTTTTAGATGATTTTAGAGGGACTGAGCCCTTGAGAGGGCACAGGGTCATTCCAAGTCATGCAGCCCTTGAGTATCAGGGACCAAAAATCCCAATATGATGTTCCATGCAGTCTAAATCACGTTGGTGCTGGCTCTGCCTGTGAGTTATGAAACTTACGTTTTGAGTCATTTGTATACAGATTTGAACAGAATTCAGCCGAAGTGGAATGAACTCATGGCTCCTCCCCTTACCTGCAAGGAATGCGTTCTGAAACTCCCAGTGGATGCCTGAACCTGTAGATAGTACAGAACCCAGATATCCAGTTTTTTCTAATGTGTGCATACCTATTAAGTTTAATTTATAAATGAGACCCAATGGGAGGTTAGCAGCAACTAACAGCTAGATCAGTATAATAAAAGTTATGTGAATAGCATCTGTCCCTCTAAAACTATCTTGAAATGTTCATTTTCAGTTAAAGAATTTGCATCTTTTCTTTGATATATCTGGATTTACAGCATCACTATTTTTGTACTTTGGGATATTATTAAGTACAATACAGTTTGCTTGAACTCAGTAATTGCTACAGTAATCGAGATGACTGCTTAGTAACAGGTGGTTTATACAGCGTGCACAACTATAGGCAAAGGTATGCTTCTTATCCGAGCAAGGACAGAGGGGGCATAAGATTTCATTAGTCAGAATTGCAAGCAATTTTAGTTTTCTACATTGTTTCTGCAATTATGATGTAATTTTTTTGGAGAATGGTTGACTGTAGGTAAGTGGAGCCACAGAGTTGAGGGGTGAAGAAGCACAAACAAGGAAGATTATTGCATCACTGTTCAATGGAGTCAGTATTTCTGACGTAATGAGGGCTCACACAGAGGCATTTTGAGGTTTTCCCGGTAATGTTTCTACAGAGGAGTTCTCTAAAATCTACCTATGTGTGCCCCTTTCAACACCCCCCAACTCTGTCAAGGCTTCAGAAGAAAAATGCATTCCATTTCTCAGGGTTAGTGTTACTGGGTGGCTGTTACTCATCTTCCTCCAAGAAGGGGAACAAGGTTAGTTGTATAAGTCCCTGAGTCTCCCACATCCAGGATTTGAAAAGCAGGCGAGTGGGGCTGGTGATTGGCAGGTCGGATGGCAGGTGCAATTGCAGCTGCACAGCCTAAAGGAAGGGAACAAGATCTGGAGAGCAGATGAGGGAATTGTCAACAGAGAATCAGCTCCTTTACCCGAGAAGGCAGGGAGCAAGGGCACCACAGACTGGCCAGCGTGCCAGGGCATCAATAGTCACATCAAGCTGATGGTGCTCCAGTCTCAATTCATAAATAAATAGCATCAGGTTTGGAATTTATCTTGCTGTTTTCTTCTAGATAGTTCACAATCTACTTGTCAGCCTAATTTAACAGACTCTGGAACTGTGTAGTAGGTTAAAAAAAAAGAACTTTTTAGTCAGCTTATAGCAAAGAGCTCAAGGCCATGGCTGCTTATAAAACCACTGCTTTATAGGGGCTATTTTATGTAAACTTGAGTAACAAACTGAGCTGAAGTACAATGGCTGGGGGTTGGCTTTGTTCAATGCACTTCCTTCTCCAAAAGTTGAACAGAAAAAAGTGTTCCAGTTCCCACTGTGTCCTCACTAGAAATCAAACACTTTCCATCTGTCATCTTGGTTCTCAGGTGGATCCTGCCCCATCACTGTGCCCTTACTTTGGACCCGTAACTTCCTTATAATGCATTTACATATTCGTATGAGTATTAGAGTGCTTCAGAAAGCTCATAGAAAAATTGCACTCAGAGGTGAAATCCATTCAATTTCCATAGTAAACCTTTCCAGGAACTCTGACAACCTCTTATGTGTATATTTTTCTGTAATTTATATTTAGCACACCTTTAGACTTGTCTCTTCCCTGGACTATGCACTGGTGGGAACAATAAAGACACCCATGGGAGACAATACTTGCTGTGTGAATGTGTGAGTAGCCTAGTGGAAGGAGGTCTTTCCTTCATTCAAAGGAAGCACCACAGGCAAACAGCCATTGTGGGCCTTTCCTGGGCCTTTCACCCCCAGGCCGATTCCCCTGTTGCCCTGCTCTCCTTGAGCACAGAGTCAGCTTGGTTCATCCAACAGACACATGATTTTAGCACCTGTTTTCTCCTGGCCAGGAGCTGTTTTTTCACATCTTTCTGTCTCTCACTCCTTTACTTCCCTTGGGACTCTGTCTAATGCATACTCTTAGAAAACTCCTTCCCTGGTCCTACATCAGTGCCTCTCTACATCCCTATGGACCTGCTTCAGCTTTCCTGTTAGCACCGACAATGGCCTACTACAAATTTGCTTCTCATCTGCCTTCTCTCACCCTGCTAGGCTGACTGCTTCTGAGGCATCTAAGTGCAGAACACTGTGGTCCTTAGAACAGAAGCTGATGCATAGTCACCTTTCTGTGGATAACTTACTGAAGCAGTAGGTGGATGGGTGGAAGGTAGCATGAATGGATAATTGAACATATTCTTTATTATTCAAATATCATAAACATTGGTGTATAAGGAAATTGCAAAGGCTCCCATAGATGCCTGTTAGAGAGGAATCCTTAGATGCCAGGGAGTCTTTGGGGATTTTCTGTCTTCGTTTCTCATCTCTACTTCTCTCTGTGTGATGATTCTACTGTTTCCACTTTCTCCATACTGATGAAGCTACGGATGCAACAAAAGACCAGAATGAAATATGTCCTCCCTTTTCCTTTCCACTTATGCTTCATCTGATGTCAGTATGAAAATTCCCAGGGGTTGTGTGGATCGTCCTCTTTTGAGATACATCCCCTGAGCAGTGTCTGCAGCTGGCAGAGCAAGGCTACTGCCCCTCCTCTGGGCTCTGTCCCCGCCTGTCCCAGCAGGTGAAGGTGGGCTTACGGTGCTGTGATATCCTTCCTCAGGATCATTTAAGTGTGTGGCATAAGTATCTGAAGACAATAAGGTCCTCTCACACACAAAAAAGTAAAACATTTGCGGATGAAACACAGAAGAAACTGAAGAAAACAACAGTTGTCCACCACAGGCATAAAGTCTCCCAGCAAATGTTCGCGTTCCTAATAATAATACTGCCTTGCAGAGCATCTGCCAGAGACCATATTAAAAATAAGAGGTATTTTTTTAAAATCCATTGAAAAAAATGTTTAATATTAGGGTCATCATTTTGAGTATCGCCTACTCAGTTGGTGTACAACAATGCTAACAACTACAGGTATCTTTTTGACAGAAACTAGTCGTTTGACTACTCAAAACAAGTAGCTATTTTGATGACAACTGCTTTCTTGACCTCAATTGTTACTTCATATTTTTGAACAGCTCAAGCTCACAGCAGCCTTCAGAAAAATTTGTGTAGATATCTTTGAAAAGGGATGAAATTTGTCAACAGGCACTTTGAACTCCAACCACGTGATTATATCCCCCCTAGCACAGAGTTGTCAGACTCAAGAGAGGATTACCCTTCCTGTTAAAGAATTCAGGTATAGTAACTATGACACATAAAGGATACTTCCTGTTTTCCAGGAGTAGTTCTAAGCACATCTAATCCTATAGCCAGCCTTTGAGGTAGGGGTAGCTTTACTATGCATTTGATAGATGAGCAATTGAGGTTTAAATAGGTGAGTGACTTACAGCTAGAAAGGAGCAAGCACAGGACTTGGGTCCTTTTGATCCAGCTTTGTAGCTCAGGGTCCCACACACTGTGTCAGTTGGAAACAGCCGCCTAATCAGTCATTGCCGTTGTCCCCTTTGCTTGTTTAGCTTTCTTCTACCCTTTCTTGGCTCATGTAGCTGAGTCGCTGCCATGGGAGGAGGTTATGACAGCGTGGAGGGCACAGAGCCACAATCTGCTGTGGAGAGAAGCAGTTTGGGTTAGCTGCTGTGATTCACACTTTACCTTCTGCGTGTGGCAGAAGCCACATGAAATCCAT